ACAAGTGACCTCCCTCCAGATTCTTGTTTCTATTTTTCCTTTATATGAAACTGCTATTTTTTTCTGAAGTCTGTAACCTCTGCCAGTCAAAATAAGGTACTGAACTGCTTCAGCAGCATCAGCCTCTACTTATTTACTCTTTGTTGTCTTACACTTGGATCACAGATATTTGGGATGCGTGTTCTGGTATTGCTCTGTGTTTGAATATCATCATAAAAAATGCTGTTCCATCCATGCCTCCGGCTTTTACACAGCATGGGAAAAATTATGTCACTTAGCAGTGGAGGCAATATAAACAATTTAGCAGACTGCTAAATGTAATAAATATGCTGCTTCTCCTGGTGACTTTGAAGACTCCACTTTTTCCACTAATGTCCATTGAGCCAGATCTTCACCGCATACTTTGCTTATGTTGGGTATTGTTTCTGCTCTAAGACATTTGTAAAACACCTCCACTAGGATGAAAAAGTACTAGGCATTTGATTTCCAGTGGAATGCTTGTCTTAAAGAAAGCAAGCACATAAATATCTAGTTTTCAAAGCTCTAAAGGTAATCAATACTAAAGGGTTGGATTAACCTTTTGCACTTTGAAGATGGTCATTGAGTGGAGTTACTCATCTAGATCAGCTGGCACCCCTATTTACAAACTTTACTGAATTAGGATATTAGATAATAAAAAAAAATCTGACTGGTGCCAGAGGTGAAGACAAATTGAAGTCTTGTAAAATACCTAGTCTCTGGAGGCCACTATATGTTTCCTTTTAAACACGTATTTTACATTCTTTGTTCTGACTCTTGTTGTTCAGAGGTGGCTTGCAGCAGCTCTCCTGTGACATGGAACTGATCACACTGAAAATCAGGTCAGATAAGTCTGTAAACTTCTCACTTTCTGTCGTGCTCCAGCTGGGAAGAAAATCAATGTACTTAACAACAGCAGTGACACCCATTTGGATTAAGCAAGTGTGCTCAAATCTGCAAATGAAAAGTGAGCTCGGAGTTGAAATTTTCATCTCAATGTGAATAAGTGTATGTGAAGGGATGGAAACTTTTTAGTGTTTGATAGAAATGAATGGAGATAAAAATTATTTTGGATTTTTTTGGATTCTCTTTGTTTAACTGATTTCATAATTTTATTTTACATATCTTACCAAATCATGTCTTTTCATAATAATACCTGCCTGGAACTGTCTATGAATAGCTTATATTAAAAAGTTAAAAAAACCTCACAAGTTAGTGGAGATGGTTTCATTGGTTTATGACTTCATGTATTTTTTATCAAAGAGATAAACTTAGCCTAATATTCTACTAGGCAGGCATCATCAAAGCAAAAAAAGAGATTTAAACAACTAAATCCATAGTTGGTGCATAGGAGAAGCCAGTTATTACTCAGATTTCAGCCATATCTTCCTGTGCTTATCTTCTTGCTATTTAAATGAGTTGTTTTTACTGTTAACTATTCTTTATGTTTTCATGATAACACAACCAGATTAAAGAGAATAATTCATTTTTTTTCCCACTAGCATAATTGTTATTGCTTTTAATATAGACACCTTTTTTTAAGAATGACCTGATCTATTAGCATCAATCAGCTTTTTATCATTATGCCAAGAAGTAAAGAATTGTTTGACTTTTGGTGCAAAAAATGGGTTTTGATTTCTCTCCATCATCGATCAAAAAAATTAATCTCTTTAACTGAAATTCTGAGAAACACCTTTAGCTTGATTTTTTTATGTAGATTGTTTCTTTTTTTTTTTTTTTTTAAATGCAGTTTGTGGAGAAGAACACGCATTCAGTTAGATAAATTTAAGGATACAGTCCTGTTTTCTTATCAGGTGAAATCTGAAGCAGAACCAGCATATTCATCACCATGCAGAAACTGTCAGGACAGTCTGTGGAATGGTAGTGGCCATTGAGTGCAAGTGTCATCAGACTGTGAAGTCTGCAGTGACAGAATTTAGGACTCAAAACTTTGAGTGCTTAAAAAAACCAAATATAAATACAAGAATGTATATGAAGACATGGCTTCCAAATTCGTATGGAAGATAGGAAATGAGGTAGAAACAAAAACTACTGTAACAGTCTCAAAAATCCATGTTAATTCTGAGCTTAAACTCTCAGCATTGCAATCTTTCACTCCTGCAATTCTCAGTGAATATATTTGTGTCTTTCTTGATGATAAATCTGCAAAGTTGTCTAACTTCAATGTTTTTTCACTTTTGTCATACATCCTTGCCTAGTTTTGCAGCTATTATGAGAAAAACAGGATAAGTGTCCTAGCACTTAAGACACAGAAAAAAAGTCATTAAGTAAATCTACATGTCATCTTTCATGCCGAACATTGAATTTCCTTCACATGAATTTTGACAGATGGTTTAGACAAAAATCAAACCTATAAAACCAAATAACATGATGACTAAAAACTTCCTGTGTGAAAACCTTGAGTAAATGGGCAGTTTTAACTGATTGCTGAGTATAATGTTGTTAACCTGGGGAACTCCACAGGGAACTCCATAACTGAATTACCATTTTTTGTCCTACAGCAACAAGAAAGAATTGAAGGTATTATTATCTGGTTTTCATTATTTTAGCCATCATGGTCTGGCAATGATTATTACAATAAAACTGAAGAAAAAGTAATTAGAACAATCTATTTGGGAAAATGGTCCTTTTCTCTATTAATGATTTGCAAATCAGAAGATTTGTATTCTTGTACATTTCTTTGTGTTTTGTCATTCTCAGGCTTTAGGAAGTTGTTTGAACTGTGGCTCTGTGTGGGAAACCTTCCAACCATGAGTGCTGTTAACGCTGAGCTATTCAAGCTTTATGATTAAGTTGTCTTATATCCACAACTGGGTGACTTAATGTATTAACAACATCTCCCTGCACTCCCACAATAATTTTTTTGTGGTGGTGAATTGTATTTTAGGCACTATAAAAGACACTGAAGGTACTTACATTTCACAGTTTCTGATCTTTCATATGAAACATAAATTAGATTCTTGTAGTGTTGGTAAAAAGTAAGTAAAAAAAGAAACCCAGAAAAGTCAAATTGAAATGTTGTTGCTTACACAGCACAGTGATAAAAACCAAGTCTTTATTAGCCCGCATCCAGCCATGCCCACTGCACTGACACCTCAGGAAAGAGATCTACATTATTGTGGGGAAAGCAATGAAGTTTGCTGCTCGATATGCAGTACCTGTCAATAATGCAAATGAAACCTGTGTCAGACTGTGTTGGAAGGGTAGAACAACAAAAGTATTGGAGAAAAGTCAGTTGAATGTTGAAGGTGTACACTGAGATTTTGGGATTCCTAGACTAGGTTTACATCTCAAACTTCCTCTGCGACCTTGTCCAAGTTAAAAGAAAGACTTAAGAACATTAAGTGGGACTTTCATTGGGGTTTGTGTTGCGTAAATCCAAGACTTTGATCCTTAAAGGCATTTTTTTGCTCTCACTGATGTGTGGAAGATATTGACATTTTTAAGAGGGAGGACCCCTTGGAGATTAGAGTTGTTGTTGCACTAATGTCCAGCGCAGCACCGCCTTATGCCCCAACTCTGTCAGGATACCCATTGTCTTAGTGATATCTCAAGGGTCAGAAATAGTTTAAAAATTACCCAGAGAGCTACAGAGAATAAGAAGGGGTTTGTGAAACAGGGTCTTGCCTTATCAGTGAAACTGGCCTCCTAGGCTCAAAGAAAGGACCCTGAACAAAGGACCCCTTTGAGATAGTCTGGAGTCTTCTTGCTGAGTCCCTGGTTCCTGCTGTGTCTCTTGTTACGTGGCTGGCAGCCATAGGTCCCCATGCCCTTTGTAATGCAAGGGGTTGGTGCCAGTTCAGGGCCTCTTGCCTTGGTCTCCCGCCACCCAGATCTCAGTCTGCATCTTGCACACCAAGACAACTGGATAAAAGATCATTTCAGCAGGGGAAGTTTGAGACCACTGACCACCAAGACTGAGCATGCAGGCTAATTATCATGAGAAGTGGGAGAATCATTCAACCAATACAAGGTAAAATACTAATTAGATAAGAGAACTAGGTAAATTGTGACCAACGAATCATGATTTCTTTGTTTTCTAAAGCATACTTGTAGTAAAAGTAAATGTAGTACTTTGTTTTCTAAAGCATACATGTAGTAAAGTTTTGAGAATGAGCATGATAGCTTTGTGGATTTACCACCTAGCACCCATCTTTGTGCAAATATGAAATAAATATCTGGGCTCTGTGTTTGAGATTGGCTTATTGCACACTGGCTGATGAATCCCGCTTTAAGGAATAACCTTCGTATTGCTTGGCACCTCACAAAATAAAGAGCAATTAACAGAAGTCATAAAGAAAACCAAACAAGAAAAACTCAGAAAAATGTGCCACATCTATATGGGGAAAAAAAAGAGTTTTGCTCTGCAGTGTAGAAGTGACAAAATGTTGTGGCAATTTTTGCTAAAATTAGTACAATTTAATGAAAAATATCAGCTCAAAATGGCATTTCCTGAAATGACCCATGGCTGAAAGAAAACCTAATGAAATCTTTAAAATTGCCTAGTCTTCCATCTGAAGTTCACAAATACCACATGGACTTCAGATAGTATATTAGTATATATTAGTATATATTAGTATATTAGTATATTAGCTCATTCATTGTTCCTGTGAGCCAAAGCAATATGATTAACTCTGTTTCAGAAAAGATACATTCAATTTTGTATTATGCTATTTTTGAAAGTGTTTACATGCCTATGGAGATGGAGTAGCATCAAGTTTTTAAAATATAAAGAGCAGTTAGGTACTGAGGCACCATTCCTTTGTTTCTTTAGAAACCTGAATGCTTTTAAATTTGTGCTTCTCATAATTTGAAAAGAGCAAGTATTGCAATTAAAGCTTACTTCCTTCCAACCCCACTCACTATTTCACCAAACAAGGCTGCATCAGTCCAACATGAGCTATTTACAGAGGACCTTCAGTCAGATTATTTTATACAACAGAGGTAATAAATTCACTTACTTGTGCAAGTCTTGTTATATTTAGGGTTCTCTTGAGGAAACCCTTCCAACCGGCACTGGAACCTGTGCTGCCAAAATTCCTGAAACCATGGATTTCTATGGTTGGTTTCTGGCCGAAGCTGTAGGTAGTAATCATCAAACCATTTCACGTCTGGAGACTGGAGTTTGATCGTTATCCCACCAACTGCTTCATTCTGGTACCCTTCTGTCACATCATACCTGTCTGCCCAGCCATCACTGCAGGGGTAAAGGAAAAAGACATAGCATTAAGGAATATTCCTATTCAAAGGAATAATAAAAGAGCTTCCTCAACATTGAAATTCAGAGCCTAAGAGCACACACCCACAGCTGTGGTTCTGAGTGGAGTATAGTAAAGCACTTGTAATTCTTCTAGTAGAAGAATTTAGTGCTTTTCTTACATTTGTTTGACATTGTCACCTTCTACTTAAATTGTGTATTCCACATCCTCCACTTCAGGTAATTGAAAAAGCATTAAAAACCACAGATCCTGAAATCTGATGTGTATAAGTGCTTCTCTGGATCATGCTAAACCTCACTGAGCTTTGGGGAGAAAACCTTGGATTCAGTGTTTCTCTGACACTGGGTTGATACTACTCTAACCTGAAAGGAGATGATCTGTTACTGTGCAAAGCACAGGACTGTGTTGCAGACCATGTCCATACTGCATGATGGAGCATGGCACAAAGAGCCAGAAGCAAATTTTGAATAGGCTGACCTGCTCAAGCAGAAGCACTTGCACAGGGCTCAGGGACAGCATTTATTACATCTGAAGCTCTAAATCCTCCTTGTAGACGTGAGTAATGAAGCTGGGCAGAGCATCATGCAGATCCAGGTGTTGCTCCTGTTTCTTGGTTGCTTGAGCTGGAGCATTATGGAGTTGTATGATACTGTACTGCACACAGAATTTTAATCCCCTTCTGTTAACCTTTCAGTTTGCAATACTCTGACCACTAGAAGACAGAAGTGACTGAAAACCTAATTGAAAAAAATGTCACAAAATTCTCAGGGTAATTCCCCTCTCTCCAGTTTCATAATGGATTTTCTTGGAAGTAGTGACTTTTATGAAGTTTCACTCAACTCCATAAAAAAAAAAGAGCATTGTAGATTTCTGCTGTTTTATCATGAACATGATATTTAAATTTTTCAAAAGCTCCAAGTATTGCAGGTAAAGACTTGTAGAAAAATCTCAGATTGGCCTCTAAAAATTCTCTGATGTTAATGACTATAGAGACTACTCTTAAATCCTAAAAGTTGAATAACTAAAGGTTGAAAAATAAGCTTAACTTGTCTTATTTTAAACTTCATTGTTTGTTTAAAGCTAGTCCTATTTTAAGTTAGTCATACTGTAAGTGATGTAGGTGACCTTTATCTGTGTGGATCTGTTGTTCTATTTTGATCATTTGCTGCCTGTTTTAAAATTTTCTTCTGTACTGCAGAGCAGGCAGGAATCCTGCAGCAGTCACTTGGTCCCCAGCATATTCCCTGTGTTCTGCACTCAGCTGTCCTCACACAGTGCAAAAATTAAGACCTCAGAGAGTGACTCCTGCACAGACACTATTTTGTTGAAGCCTGGACTCTTGACTTTGTCTTCTTAGCACAGCTGCAATGTCAGTAAATAGCAGCTTCACCAAGGGGGAAAATAATATCCAGTGTCTGGATTGAAAATGAAGGAACTATCAAACATGCTTCAGATTTCAAATGCATTGATTTACTCCACACAGAAAAGTAAAATATATACATTCATAAAAGGAGAAAGATGAGCATTGCTGTTCAGCTCAAATACAGCCCTTGGAAAATTTAACTTCAAGCTTAGAGATGAACACGAGTGTCAGTGTTCCCAATCACACTCAAGAGACTCAGTCAGGCAAATGCACCCCACCTTCCACCAGGACTATTTATTGGACAGACCCACTTATGGGCTCTTTTGTGATAAAAGCCAGAGAAGGTGTTTGAAATTTATGAGTGATTTAACCTTTTCTTTAAAACACTCATCTTAATCTTCATCAAGTTTTTAAACGGTTTTATCCACCCTCGTAAAACCTGACAAGTTCTTGAATGCAGTAAGTGATAGGTTTTCTGTAGTGTGGGATTTTTAATTTTTTTTTTTAAACTGGGTAGAATTTCAGTATCCCAGATTTAGGAGTTGTCTCATAAGAAACTTAGAAAAAAAACCCTGTTCTCTTGTAGTTAATTTCTTTATCCTTTTCAAAGGAACAGTTTTGTAGATCTAATCAAGCTGGGTGCTATAAAATTTATAGTATTACTTTATGAATAGTTATCTTCTCTAAGAAGATACCATTTTATAACTTTAAATTATTAAAAAAGATGAAAATGACAACTTCATCTTACATAACCCTTCTTCTCAACTTTATTGCTGGAGAGCTTCTTAATTCAACAGAGCTGCTTCTCATTCAAATAAGTATTTCAGCTTAGCTTCTTGGGCAAAAGGCATATTATATAAAACGTACTCAATATCTGTATTGTAGAGACAACAACGTAGAGATAACAAAGCCTCAGATGGACAGTGGGGAAATGCAAATGCTAAACTACTACCTAAAGGTTGGTGAAAGTGGAGTAGGTACACAGGCTAGAATGAATATAGAAAAGCACCAATACTGTGTGTGATATTTAAATTCTACACCCACAGTACAGTAACAGCACTTACAGGATGTTGATGACAGGATGACATAAATATATTTGGAAGAGTAGACCTGTGACATTCTCTGAAGTCATTGAGGGGTGTGAAGAGGAGGGAGAAGGTGACAGAGAGGGAAATACCTGCTTACTTTCATAGTCCTACCTGTCACTCCTTAGACCTTATTTCTACTCCTAATGGCTTAATTTTACTGTAGTAGCTGGTGATAACCTTGTACTCCACTGGTTGTTGCACTATGAAAGGTTCAAAATGGTATTCACTACCACTAAAATCTACTTGCTCAACTGAAGAAAGATGCTCTGGCAGCAGAAATTGGCTGTGACAAAGAAATCTGAATGAAGCACAGTTTAATCTCCACTTTTACCTACTGAAGTGTCAATGTGCACTACTGCAGTGCAGGACTGTGTGCTAGTGAGAGAAATGGTTCTTTATGTTAGCAGTGAGATGTACAGGATTTTTAGATGAGCAAGAGGTTAAGAATAGCTTCCTCACAAGTAGTAAAGCAAGTCCAAGGGAACAGTATTCCAGTAAGAATCTTGAAAGAGTCCAAACAGAATCTTGAAAGAGTCCAAACAGATTAAACAGGGCATGAATATCCTTAACAGATAACTACACAAGTTCAGGTTTTCTCCCATACATGGGTATTGTGTTTCTAATTTTATTCTGATCTAGGTAAATATGATCATTAGAAATAGAAGGTGTTGCTTCTTAGCCAATGGGAAGGTGTCACAGAATCAGAGAATATGCTGAGTTGGAAGGGACCCACAAAGATCATTGAGTCCAGCTCCTGGCCCTGCACAGGACCATCCTCAAGAGTCCCAACACGTGCCTGACAGTATCATCCAAATGCTTCTTGAACTCTGTCAGTCTTGGTGTTGTGATCACTTCCCCGGGGAGCCTGTTCCAGTGCCCAACCACTTCTCTGTGAAGAACCATTTTCTAATATCCAACTTAAATGTCCTCTGACACAAATTCAGGCTGTTCTCTTGGGTCCTGTGACTGGTCACCACAGAGGAGAGATCAGTGCCTGCCCCTCGTCTTCCTTCACAAGGATGTTGTAGACTGCAACGAGGTCTCCCCTCAGTCTCCTCCAGGATGAGCAGACCAAGAGACCTCAGCCACTCCTCACATGGCTTCCCCTCAAGGTCCTTCATCATCTTCGTTAGCCTTCTTGGGATGCTCTTTAATAGCTTAATATCTTTCCTATACTGTGGTGCCCAAAACTCCACACAATATTCAAGGTGAGGCTGCACCAGTGCAGAGCAGACCGGGACAATCCCCTCCCTCGACCGACTGGCGATGCTTTGCCTGATGCCCCCAGGACATGGTTGGCCCTCCTGGCTGCCAGGGCACTGCTGACTGATATTTAACTTGCCATCGACCAGAACTGCTTTCCAGCACCTCATTTCCCAGTCTGTACATACACCAAAGGTTGCATCTCAGATGTAGAATCCAGCACTTTCCCCTACTGAACTTCATATGTTTGGTTATTGCCCAGTGTCCTAATTTGTCGAGGTCTCTGCAGGGACTCCCTGCCTTAGAGGGAGTCAACAGCTCCTCCCAGTTTTTTGTCATCTACAAACTTGCTTAATATCCCTTCCAGTCCTGTATCCAGGTCATTTAGGAACATGTTGAAGAGCACAGGGCCTAAGATGTCCTTAAAGTGACATCTTAAAGGACTTGAGTTGCACATGAAGAAACCATGCTGCGAAAGAAAGAAGCAGTTGCACAGCTGCAGCGCCAAAAGTAAAGGCCCCTTGCCGAGACATTTGTCAGGTATACACAGAACTTCAGAGATCTCATTCATCAGCTTGCCAGGCTAGAAAGTTGTCAACAAGGTAAGAGGACTATGGCATGTTCAGGTCTGACTGCTCTTAGTATTACACTAGCATTAAACACAATGAGGAATTGTTTTCAGGATCATGAAATGTTTCCCCCATATCCAATATTTCCTTGTTTATATTCTTGCCCATCAGGCTAATGTCTAGTGCATTTTCCTTAGAGACTGGTGGTGTGATACAGGAAAATAACCATACTGTATAAAATAAAATATATATAAAGATTAATGCTGTTTCTAAAAAAAAAAAAAAAGAAAAAAGAAAAAAATAAAAAATACAATTTAAATAACTTATTGTACACCAAAGAAAATAATCACAGAAGGAAGAAAAAGGTAAAAGTTGCTTTTACTGTTGCAATACAAGTAAGAGATGAACCTGAAATAGCAGGGCCATTATCATGATGTTTTTTACATATTATCAGATTTCTTTGCAAATGTATATTGCTCCAGCTACCGCTTTTTTAAGGATATACCAGGGTGATGGAGATTTTAGTTTAAAAATATCCTCCAGCAAACAGAGGGGAAGTGGTCTGCTCCTTGTTAAAGATCTGTTTAGTTTACTTGCAGTAAATCACAACATGGTTGTATATCATAGTACAGAGGCACCAATATTTACAAAATTTATTATTGAATAAGTATAAACACAATAAAATAATTCAATCTCTTAGATAATTACTATATATACAATTACTTTTAAACATCTGAATGGAAAAATAGGGGCAG